CTGCTGAGCCATCCCTCCAGGCCCTTGTTTTGATTTTTTAATACAGGGTCTCGTGCTATGTAACTGGAGAAAACCTTGAATCCATTTTAAGCATGTCTTTTAGCATATGCTAATAATAGATTTCATTTGACATTTCATATGTTCATTTGTAGTTTGGTCATATTCACTCCATGTTACGACTACTCCTCCTTTCTACTTTCATGCCTTTTATAATCTGAACTCTTTATCCTCTTGGCTCTACATCAAAAATGCAGAGATTACAAGCATGCACCGACACACCTGTGTTCACTTTTTAGTTCTGTACAACAATTCCGAGTTTGCACCTAATGAAGAATGGCAATCTCAGTGCTCATTAGTGTCTATGTTAATTGGCCCTCAAATTTAGTCAGTGTGAATTGTCTGTCACTTCATCATCAAGCTAAAGTCAAACTCCAAATACTTGTGCATAAAATTATATTTTGAAGAAGACAGAAGGTCATTATCATCTGTAAATAAGCAAGTGTGTATAATAAACAAAATGGAAATATTAACAATTCTCACTTCTGTAACTAACTGTGAGGGCACAGTCACAATCTATAGTTCCTATTCATAGTTTGTATTTCACTTGACCTCAGTCAAAGTACTATATGGTTGGCATTATTCAGTTCATTGAGTGATACAGGCCTTTGTTCATGAAAGGCACGATTCTTGAATACTTCTACTACTTTCATTAGGTTTGTGTGTTTGTATTCTTGTTCATGGGTGTGTGTGTGTGTGTGTGTGTGTGTGTGTGTGTGTGTGTGTGTGTATTAACTGAATTCCTTGTGATTTCAAGGCAAGTACTTTCCCTTCCCAGCTTCCCCCAGGCCCATTTTCCAGATGCAGTCCTTTCTCCCAACTGCATAATGTGAAATCAATTTCTTCTTTGTGATTAGAACATATTACTCCAGCTAATAGAGTAATCTTATCTTCAATATCCAGATTGTGGTCTTATACTCTTATTCAATACAACATTTGCTCTGACATCCTGGGATCTAAGACATCTGAACCAGCAGAGCTCACTGTTGTTAGGCTGGGGAGTGATGGTCTGTCAATAATTTACTATCCATAAAGCTGGAATAAATCACTGCTTTTCACCCCTTCCTGTTCAAACTCATGGATTGTGGCTATGTAGTAAACAGACCATAAATGCTCACTAACCCAAAGCACATTCTCTATGCCACAGACATAAGATATACTCCAATTCCTTTAGATTTCCTCCACCTGCCATTGTAACAGAGCCTTTTGTAAACTATTCCTATGCACAGTAAGGACAGTCTCTTCTGAGTAATGATGAAGGAACTGAAAGCAAACTGAGGAGGAAAGGGTTTATTTCATCTTACACTTTCAGTTATAACTACCATTTAGGAAGTCAAGGCAAGAACTTGAGGCAGACACCTAGAGGCAGGAACCATACTGGAATGCTGCTTGCTGGCTTTCTCTCTGTCTTGCTCTCAGCTTGCTTTCTTATATGGCCCAGGGCCATATCCCCTACCCAGAGATGGCACCAGCCACAGTGCAATGGGTGCTCTAGTATCAATAAAGAATCAAGATAATCCCCCACAGACTGCCTAAGTGGTCTGGGCAATTCTCCAATTGAGACTCCCTCAAATGACTCTGGGTTGTGTCAAGTTGACAACTGACCCTAACTAGGACAAGAGATTATCCTGGATCATCCAGTGTGATCAGTGGATAAATGTGATCAAATATAACCTTAAAAGAGGGAGACAGTGAAAGACAGGATGCATACACAAAAGAAGTATAGGGTGCTTCGTGCTGCTTTAAGTCAAAAAATGGAGGGCTGGGGGGGGCAAAAATGGAGAAATAGCTTTTTCCTGAGAATCCCCACAGGGAGCATAGGCCTCTGACCCCTCAGTTTCAAATCAATGATACAGATTATAGTTTTCATGCCCCCAATGCCACAAAAGAACAAACTGCTGATGTTTGCAACCACTGATTCTGTGGCAGTGTATTAAAGCATCTATGAGAAACAAGTACAGAGACACAGAGAACATACAGTGCATGAAGGGAACATCCATCCCACTGTTGATTGTCTGTGTTTGCTACTAAGCAATACAAAAGAAGGCATGTATTTGCCAGGACACATCAGAAAACTGTTCTGTGCATCTCATACTAAGATTTCACAAAAGAACTAAGCATTTGAAGAGCATTATTAGTTACTGAATTATGCAGCCCAAATAATAGTGTGACCTGTATTACTGCACAGGCTTTCTCTAGGGCAGCGGTGCTCAACCGTCCTAATGCTTCGACCCTTTAGCACATTTCCTCACGTTGTGGTGACCCCTCCCCCCAACCATGAAATAAATTTGTTGCTACTGCATTTTGCTACTGTTATGAATTGTAATGTAAATATCTGATATGCTGTGTGTCTCATATGGGACTCCCAAAGACGATGTGACCTACAGGTTGAGAATCACTACCCTAGATGTTGTACTGTAACTGTAAGCTGAAATAGTCTTTCCTCCCCGTGGTTTTTAGTCGTGTTTGTTTATCACAGCTAGAGGAAGCAGACCAGAACACTTTGCATCATTTTTACATAATAAAGATAAGACACAACTCAACTACATCACGAGAGGTCTATGACTTCTTCAAGAAGATTTCTGATTCTGGGAAATGGACTTGGGGATTCCCAAAATAATTCTACCTTGACTGATGGAACACAACAGCATTCTGAGACCCTAAGAATTAGTGTCAATTCAAAGACGATGTCTAGTAAGTCTCATCACACCAGAGCATTTTTTTTTTTTTTGCACACTATCCTGACAGTGCTATAGTTTGCAGCATGCATGGCCCTTAAAGCCCCTAGTGGGACTGTGGGACCTTGGCACTTGCCTTGCTGACTCTTGCTTCAGATCCATTAAGTAATAGCTTTGCTTTCCCACACTCTGACGATGTGCTGCCTGGCTCAAGCCGTGAGCAACAGGCCCAACTGCACTTGGACTAGTGTGTCAGGAGAACAGGAACCTGAAAGAACCACACTAAGATTAACATAGGAAAGCAGCAAGTGGACAAATAAAGATTGCAAACTCTTCCCACCCATGCTACATGCAACAAACAGAGCCTGAATGAGTGAAGCCCACACTGTAAAAATGTGGGCCAGGTATACACCGTGTCAAACAGTCCTGAGTCCACAAGCCTCATGGCCCAGTGCTTTTGAGCATAAGCTTTTCTCTACATCACCGGGCCACTCCCTTTCCCAGGACTGCTTTTCCTTACTCAAGTAATTTTCTCTGTTTTTATTTGTAATTATGTGCTCCTGTGCAATCCTTTGTCCTGGGATACAGGAACCTGGACACTTTAGCAAGTGCCCTCTGAACCCAGATCCCTGCCCATAACACTAAAACATTCCAAACTGTGAGCCTAAGGAAACTGTTCCCTTTATATTCTCTCAGGCACTTTGCTGTAATGATGGAGCGCTAGCTAACTAACAAAGTCACACTACAAAGGGGCTGTGATTTTTGTGTGTGAAGGTTTACAGACTGGAGTCGTGTGAATGCTACAAGATCCTGGCTGACCTCTTCAATAAGAAGGCTCTGAACATGACTTGCATTAGCTGATGTGATTCTTTTCAAAGTCGGACTTTGAACTACTAATTCTAGTTTCCTCAATGATAAAACTTAAGAAATACTGTAGCAGGTGCTGGGTTTTTATTCCCACAGATTGGGTAGCCAGTCAGCCATAACCAAGACAAGGATTCCTGCAGGCCAAGGCATTTTACCTGATATTAACACACACACACACACACACACACACACACACACACACACACACAGTGAGGCTACTCATGTTCAGTTGACATCACTGGGAGGCCTACTCTTTTCTGAAGGCAAATGCAGGGACAATGGATCAGGGGGAGAGGGGAGGCGAGGGTAGGGACTGAGAGGAGTGGAGAGAGGGACGTTATAGTACGAATGTATTATATGAGAGAAGAATAAATAAGTTAATGAATAAACAAATAAATAGATAGATAAATGGGGTCTACTAAGAATGGTGAACAGTTTACTACCTGCCATGGTACATTATTTAATACCATACATCCAATTGGTTCCTTTCATTGCTCTCGGAATGAAACCTCAAAGCTCTGCTGAGGCCTTTTAGGTTGTAGGTGACTGAAGTCCTGTCTATACCAGATCTGTCTGTTCAAATGTTCAAGTCACACCCATCTTGCTGCAACTCTTCTCAGCTTTTTCCAAATGGAGGCTCTACGGGCATTCCAGACTCTATCTACCTCATTGGTCTGTACACCAAGGCCCACACTTCCTTATGCAGTGTGGCCTATAACTTTGTGTATTTGTCTATTGTACGTTTATTATCCGTAATTCTTCACGCTCTTCCTGTGCTTACTGTTTACTCAGCGAGGCCATGAGCCCAACTCAGAATCCGTTTCTACTCTGTTCTCCTTGCAGAGCGACAGAGTGATGACTAATCCTGTATAGACGTTTCACAGATATAGAAATTGGTCTATATTGCTGCCCATTGTTTTTTCAAGTGCACAGCAAAGCTTCGACAGCCACCTTATCTTGCTCCAAGTCTGTCGAGCCAAGTAGGAAGTAGGGTCCTGGGTCTGTGACCCTTCAAGCCAGGGCGGGCTACCACTGAGGACAACCTACTACTAGCAAAAAGACACAATTCCCTCCTGCCTGACACCACCAGGGAGCCAGGAAAGATGGCATCATTCACTTGTCACAAACGATCGTCCACGTTCTCGAATTAAGATGCCCGCGGCACCAGGTCAGCAGCGGACCAGCAGCCCGTCCGAGCCTTCCTTCTGCGCAGGCGCACACCAATCGCTTCCGCTCTGGGCGTGGCCAAGTCGGGGCGTGCCCATCTCGGGG